TTACTAATTTTTTTTTAATTATAGGTGCAGTTTAAATTTCAATACCGCTGATTACGTGTGCCGTTGCCATCGTCAATATCAAGGGCTCGACTGCTCTGTGCCGAATTACTGGTGAAGAGGAAGAAGCAAAAGTCTGCTTGATTTCACATCGACACGGCGCTATCGCAAGATACAGGGGCATACCCTCTTGGAATAAGTGTGAGGGTGGGCAGGAATTCCGGATGAAATGAACATTGCTCACTTATCCTGTCAACCTCTCCTCCTTCTCCTAAGGGTTAGCGCCGACTTTAACAAAAAGGAAATGTTTTAAATGCATTCCAGTGCCCCCGTATCTTGCGATAGCGCCCATCAACAACTAATCACAATTGGTAAATAAAACCAAAATACGAATAAAGTTTTATTCGGTCACCCACACAACAATTTAGACCTTAACCTTCTTGACCTTCTTGCGTGCAGCACTTTCTTTGGCGCTCGCACCACCTCGGCCAACAACACCCCTACCAGGGCAAGGACAGTAGTGAGCGTCCTTTCCTGGTACTCCAGGTGGTCCTGGGGATCCAGGCGTTCCAGGCCTTCCAGGCTCACCAGGAGGTCCTTCAGGTCCACTTGCTCCGGGTGCTCCTGAGAGAGAGTCTCTTCCCGGTGCACCAGGTTCACCAGGAACACCGGCTTCTCCTGGAACTCCTGGCTGTCCAGGTGGGCCGGTTGGTCCTTTGCCACCAAGTGTTCCGTCATTTCCACGATCACCCGGAGGTCCATTGTGGCCGGGAGTACCAGGTGTACCAGGCTCTCCAGCTTGTCCTAAAAATGACTATTCTGAAAAAGTCCATCAATATACGTTACACTCAAAGTCTCACCAGGCTGTCCCGGTGGACCTGGTAGTGATGTCTCCCATCCAGCTCCATTTGGTCCAGGTGATCCAGGCAGACCTGGTTGTCCAGGTGGTCCTGGTGGGCCGGGATCGCCGTTCGGGCAGGCTCTGAATCAGGTTTTAAATTAGTCAACAACGCTGTGAAACGCTGATCACAAAACCCGTAGCAGCACTGACGTCACTACTGAACCACCTTACCTGCACTGTCCACGAGGGGTCCATGGCGACAGGGAGAGCATTTCCGCGTAGCCCTGGTGCTCCACGTTCACCCGGATAACCTGGAGTGCCATCCTCTCCGGCTTGACCAGGTATACCAGCTGGACCAGACGGACAGGCGTTGTCGCCGTTACACTGACAATTGCCTGTGGCTTGACGATGACGACGGAAGTGCAGACGTCTTGTGGAACGACCGACGCGCACGTGAACTCTGAAACGGTAACAGTCAGTTCTTCATAAAACAGTTGTTGTGGGAGTCTCACTTCTATGGGGAACCACTTCAAAACCGGTTCCTATTGGAGCGGTCTAAACGCCCAAACGGCCAGGAAAACCAAACTTACTCGGTCTGCTTTTCCATTTCCCGGAATTCGAACATGTCGCGCTCGATTTCTCCGGAGATCTCTTCGAGTTTTGTTGACAGACGCGTCGCCATCAGAAGGATCATCGCCGTGGCGCCCACGGAAAGCGCTATGGCCGTGTAAGCGGCGTTCTTCCCGTTCATCTTTCACTTGGTTTCCCTGAAATTCAGCCAGTAAATTTACTTAATATCACGCCTAGCAATAAACTGTACATCTTACACCTGGTCTGAGTTATGTGCTCGAAGTAAATCAGAAAACAAGGAGAAAAAAATCAAAGAGCGCTAACCTTGGAGAAGAGCTGATTAGCTAATGCTAACACCCTATCAGCGGTTTTTATACTAACGAGAATTACCTAAATAGGTGGAACAAACAAGTTGTGTACCACCATCAACGCATTACTATTACGACCATAAGTTAGGTTGCAACATTCTTTGAAAACGTATGACTGTGGCACGAAAGAAACTCGTCCAAGACTCACCTCGTCCTCAAGGATACGGTAACACACGAGACCCGGAGTTTGCAAGTAATGAGACCTATGAAAAAAAGCTTCATTCTTCTTTTTGAAAAACGCAGCTCATCTGCGATAGTTGTTTGCCATAGTATAACGGGAAAAGGTTTTCACAGGGAATAGTAGAAAGGGGTCATTGTTAGCACATCTCTTCAGAGTGCGCCACGCATTTGACTGGTACCCAACGAACTTTACCAATATTGTTATTCTCTGCACTAAGCACATGGATTCGAGTTTTTTTTAGATGATTTTTGAGGAGTTTTTCAAAGTATAGTGTGGAGGGGCCAGTGTCGATCCACCCCTCGAACTTTGCCACGCATTTTATTGAGGCCAGTTGAAATATTCACAAATACGCATTTCGTTGACAGCATCCTTCAGCGGGTCGCTCAATGTTAAGACCGATGTTTTTATCATGCGAATAAGTCTTCCAGCATTTCCCGAGAAAGGTGGAACTTGCTTAGCAGAGTCAATTCAAAAGTTAGGTGCCTCTAACCAATTCCTCAGACAATTAATGTTTAGCAGCATGGAAAAAACTACTGATTTTAGTACTTCAAAACCGCTGTGTGTCATTGTAAAAAAAACATGACTGCGCAAAAATTCAGTGGATTTCAAAACAATAGCCTTCAGCCTTCACACAGCTCCAGAGATCACCCATGCGGCACGCAAGTACTAGTGGTCATCAGCTTTATCTGAAGATTTAGGAAGCTGAGCGGAGATGTTTCGGAAGGTACCATACTTAGGAGTCCGTTAAAACAGGTGGGCACTTGCAGATAGTCTCAATAAACCAACCCTAGCAGCGTTTGTGACATGCTCTTTCTGCTTCTGAAGATAATATTTTGTCGTAATACACTCGATAGTCAAGCTGCTGAAAATATGCAGTGACAAAATTTGACCGCTCTACGGTAGAAGCTGACCCAAAAACAACGATGACGACTACATTAGATCTCACTTTCAATAGCTCCCATCCCCAGATTAGGTGTAAATTGCAACCCCGTCGTCACGATCTCTCACTGTTTCCGCCACTGTCTCAGAAAATAGGCGTGTATTGCAGTTCTCCTCCTCAGGTCAAGTCACCTAAAATTAGAGCACTACTTATTTGCTCGTCGCAAGGCTAAGACTAGGCCCAAGCCCGGTCATTCGCGTAAGCATAAGCCTAAGCCTGAGCCTAATAAGCTCAAGTATAACCTCAGGCTTCAATGATCGCGCAGCTCTCGTGACCTAACCTCGGAGGAAAACGAAACCTCTCCCAAAAAACAGTGAGAGAAGCAGCTGAAGCTGTTTTGATGGTACTTTTTCTCCGCTGGTCAATTGCAAAAAGGAGGTGCCATCAAAGCTTTTCTGTGACTTCTTTTACTTATTCCTTTTTTGTTGAGACACATAGCACCTACTGTTTCAAACTATTAGGTTGTCGGAAAAGTCTTTGGCCATTTCGATCTGCATGTTGTAAAATCTCCAGGGATAATTTTTGAACATCCATTGTAAAACGTATGTAAACCCTAGTCAATGATCTCTTCAGAGCATTTCTGTCGTGGTTTCGCAGCGATTATGGCTGAGAAAATCGTTTTTGACTGAAAGCATGTTTGGCTGTTTTCTAAACCCAGAAAACGCGTCAATGGAAGCGATGCGGCAAGAGCTCACGTCTTGCGATGGAACCCCAGAGTGTCTTTCACGACATGGTAAACATTTGGTTGCCGAAGTCCAGAAACTCGAGAAAAATGCACAAATTCTTTTGGCCTGTTCCCTGAATGACGAGTGTCTTCTGGAGCTGTTTGGAAACAGTCTCCGGAGCAATGCTCGGGAACTGACGCAGCTTTTTCGGAGTTTTCAGAACACAATATCTTCTCAAAAAGAAGAGAAATATGGAAAAAGGAGGTTTCGTGACATTGGTGACGAACCGCCGTCAGAGGCCTTCAGATTTTGCATGAACATTTTGATTTACCGTCTGTCTCTTGTTTGACCCGACTACTTTGTTGGTGGTAATAAGAAGTGGGTTCCTCACGTAAACTGCAGTCGGAAGCGCCAGTGGCCCAGACGCGTAGATCCGAGGATTCCAGCGCCGATTCCAGCACTGCAATCCTGAG